GGATACGTCCACCTACTGAGCAAGAATTGAGCCAAAAGGTGTGGTCCTGCTCTCTTTTGCACCTAGCTCATGAGCCCATTTCTAAGTTATCATGATTGAACTCTTTTTCTGAATTGCGTGTCTCTTGCGCTATATAGTTTTGTCGTCTGACGCGTTTCATTGCGTATTTTTTCCCAAGTTCAGGTAAAAAAAGAAACAAGGAGAACATGGCGGCTTGAGGAAATTTTGCTAAAAAATTATGAGAAATATGTTCTCCTTATTCAGTCAATACTCAGAGGTAACTGTCAACCCCGTTTATTTACGTATTTCTCAGACAAAAGTATGCGGAAGCTGCCAAAGAGCCTACGCATTTATTCACTACTTAGGTGGACTAAGGTATTTTTCAGCTTAATAACCAGCACTTTTCTCCTGACAGGTAGAGGTTGTCTGTGCGCTCAAATGTGCCTGCGCGTTGTATGAGAATAATCCTCTTTTTAATTATGCTGGTGATCTTTTAAACGCTTTTCTGCCATATCTGCAAAAACGAAACTCATCCGTACGTTCCTTAAGGTTTTTTTCCACTAACGTCCGCCTTAGATTCGGCAGATTGTGGTCAATAGTTTAAAAGCCACTTTCGCCTCGGACTCGACTGGGGAGGCGACGCTTCTAGTAATTCATTCTTAGTTATGTCTTTCTCCATTTTTAAAGGTTTGCCGTGGTGTTCATCGTCTAGCGCACAAAGTGAATTATCGTATTCGACCTGATGTGGTTAATGCTATTGCTAACATCACGATCAAGGAGGTTTCAGAGTCGTCCACGGAAAACAAAATATCTCGCAGGGATAGGAATCTCGCTTCTAGGCGAGAAAGGAAGGCATGTTTTGATGCCTTGTTTTTGGTTTTTTGGCTATGGTTTTGGTAGACATTATTAAGCTTTTGGTGAAGGGTTCAATAAACAGACACCATTTATAAGCCGTTAACCAGATGTTTTAGTAAATAGTGCAACTTATTTTTTCTCCTTGTTGTTTTCTTTTGCAGAAGGATAAGGTATTGGCCAAGTTTGAAAAGGACCAAGCTGAAACGAAGGCATCAAAGTCGCACGAGGAAAGATTGAGAATGGTTTATTCTGAGTTTGTTTCACCATTGGTTTCTTTAGAATGCGGAAATTTTGAAGGAAATACTGTTCGTCTACTTCAAGGTCCTGAAAACTACCAAGGACTCAGACCTTCTATCAGCTGTACTGGCTGGACTTTCTACGTAAGACGAGTTGTTCTTTCGTGACCCTTTAATTCACTAGATATGCTCACGTTATCAATGTGGACTACGTGGAAAACTTGCTTCAGTTGATGAGCAGTTTTGTCACTAATCCGGTGGGTTATACCATTCTTTTTCTCCACAATAAAACACATTTGGTAGAATTATGCGTGCTATCTCTCACAATTTGCACTTCTCACTTGTCCAATCTCTAGAAGACGAGCCTGCAAGATGGTTTAAACAGCGTGCATACCGCTCTCACTATCTTCAACTCCTCCTCAGCAGCAGCCGTTTTAAAGATTGATCCTACACATTTCTACAACCATCTGTATGCTCTGCTCGGTTGCATGGCAGGTGTACGCGGTAGGCGAATGGGTGGTGCTGCCTCCAACACCGTTAAAAGCAACAATCTTCTACAATACGCTTGGGCTCGAACTCCTGCAGCTTTGGCAGCGGAGGATCTGGTAAAGCGGGAGCGGCTCTTGGCTGGCAGTGATGGTAGTGACCAATCAAATGAATTTGTACGCTCGATCAGTGCTGCCGAAGTAGAGGACTTTGCTGATGTCATTCTTGCCTGCTTGGACATGCTCCTTGTTTCACGTCGAAAAGAGGTTTCTATCACCCGAGTCTTGGCATTTGTCAAGAGACTTGCTTCCCTTACTCTCGTTGTGGTGAGTTTAGACACCTGGGCTGTTTCGTAGCTCTCGAGCATATGCTTTGTTCGCATATAGTGTTTTGTTTGGGCATTTGTCTGCAGATGGACACTTCTAATTCATTTCTTCTTTAGACCGACACAGCCTGCCTTGCCTCAATGCTTGTGAGTCTG